CCTTCCGGTGCGACGGCGGCCATCTTGATGTTTGTTTACATAGCGCGCGTTTGCCATCCAAGAAGTCACGTGATTTCTTAGTGCAAGTCGCCTATTAGCCAACTATTGGCCAACAAATGGCATCCAAAGAAATTTAACAACGCACAGCATCAGCTGATTATTAGTTGACAATTCACCAGTGCTATAAATTCTTTTTTAGGGCTACCTTAAATAAGGGTCAAGACTAGTGGCTTTTAATCAATTAATAACTTTGTGTCAAAAATCTTCTGGCGTTCCAAAAATTGTAACACTAATCGGTGTACAAATGGGTGTCTGCTATGAGTACCTTATTAGATAAAAATAATGTTGTGCGAAGTAGTGTTGGGATATATTGAACCTGCAGTGTTCTACTACCATTTACAAGTTTCCATGAGGCATCTAGACCAGTAGATTTTGAAAAGTTTATATCTCAGAGGTTTTTAATGTAAAACTTGCAAGTTTCATGCATGAAACTCTATACTTGTGTGTGAATGGGACCATTCAGTGACCTGCCCTGAAGGTTATCTTGTGTGTAGAAAAATCTGATTTATTGAGATCTAAAGTTATATATAACTATACATGTATGTACCATGTTGACACCTGATGATGAGACCAAATAATACATACCTGTATCAAATCTGTGTAAGGAAGCTTGAATACATCATTTGCACGATCATATATTGCACTGTTTAGTTGTTTTATGGTACACGGAATGACTGACTGTGCTTTACTGCTAGACCTCTGCAGATGTACATTAAAGGTAATTAGGATTTCTATTCTTTTTTTATCACTCTTTGGTTAATAATTACATTTTGTTCACTAGTAATAACTTGGTAACTTAAGATTGCCAATAATTTTATTTAGTTAAATTTCTTTACCCATTTTCTTTCTTTTTTTTCTTTTTTCTTTATCTATCTATTCAATTTTTTGGTTGATTTTTTCTTCTAATTATCAATATCAATATCTATTGATGGGTTGCAAGCATTCCCAAGAAAGTTAAAAGTGAAAAACATGTCGTGGTGCTGTTAACAATGGATGCTAATAAAAAATCTTTTGTTAAATAGCACCAACTCTTCCAAGAGAGGCTGTCATGACAAAAGTGCAATCAAATACCTTTTTTTCTTGTGAGCTTGATGTAGGTGAAGCAAACTGATTGTCTTGCATATATCCACCTCCTCCAAACTGTCCACTAGTGTCCATGGACTAATAAATATTTTAATATCATTTAATTATTATTTTCAATATATCAAAATATAAAGTAATCCATAGTATATAGCACATAAAAATCATATTACTTAGTGCAAAATACATAAATAATTACCTCATATCCACCACCAAAACCTGGAATACATAGGAAAGAACAGATAAGACTTACATAAATTAATTTTATACATAACACGAGTAAGCTGTAAGGCTTACGAGTGAATATTTTCAATCGATTTATAAATGTTAAACCTGCGTAAATTAGGAATTCTATGCTATGGGCCTAAAATGGTTCTTTTACATCGTAAAGAAATTTTTTGTAAGAAATTAATGGCACAAAAAGAGAGAGGGGGTTTATTTTGAAGAAGGAAAACTAAAGAATTTCCAAAACATTCCAGTTTGGAATACGGTGAAAGCTTCGTTCGAATCGAAGAAACAAATAGAATAATAATCTATCAATTAAAGTTCATAGTTATATTAAATCGACAGAAGAATAAATCATTCTCTTACCTCCGTCGTTCCACATTTTATCTAGTAATAAGTAGGTAAAAATAAAATTAAATCGAAGCTTTGAAATGCTTTTCTTCTTCAACAAGTTTTCCTCAAATAATTGGCGCGAAAAATCAATGCGTGCGCACAATTTCACTTGCACATGCATAGGTACGAGAAACGCGGGCTCGAGTAAGGGAGCCAATCACGAACAAGTAATAATAATAATAATAATAATATTTATTTATAAAGCGCAAATACAAATCTGTTCTAAGCGCTAGTAAACAAACGACAAAGACAACGACAAAATAAAAT